GAGTGAATCTCGAAGAGAAAAACTCTCTCACGGAACTCTTGCAGCAGCGTCGACTTTCACACTGATAACGTCAACTAATAGAGCCTGATTGTGAAGATAATATTTGCAGTTTTAAGGCAAGCACGTCATCCAATCATTTGTTTCCTTAAGGATATAGGTACTAACCTAGTTACCTTCAAAGGATAAAACACTATGGTTGAGCAATTTTGCGAAGACACAATGAAGTCTGTTTAGAGCTCCCTTCAGCATTGCGCACTGCCTACTTTTCCACAATTTTCATACCACTTTGTATCGTTTTCGCGTTCTTCTAAAGCGACGTCAATTTGCGTGTTTCGTCTATCCACCATCTGCCTGATACTGACCGACTATAGTGTGCTAGAATTCCCGGATACGCAAAGTTCACAACGGAACATAGGACCTGACTGTTTGGGGTCATGACCATAAAAACCCATCATCTGACAAACCATAGGTCATTCTACGGTTATATGAATGCGCGTGATGTTGGCTTCCAACACACTGCATAAAACGATGATACAGTGTCGTAGACTTTGATGGCATTATTTCAATTTTTCGATTATTTCGTTAATATAAACCCCGTCCAAGCGGAAGTTACAAGCTGAAACTTGGCGGAAAGTTAAACAGCACTTTCCCCGGCGACATGAGGCTTCGTGATCAGCGGTCAGTCGATGTTAAGGCGTACGCCAACCGTACAACGAGCTCGCCACCTAGAACACAATGATATAAAAACCACGCGCGATACATGTGGATGGGACGGGGTAGGGAAGAAATGGAGTATGAGTGTGAACCCGTACTCCTCCTGATACTTTTCTATGCACATCTGCTCTCGAAAAATTGCAAATTTATTTTCAAAAACAGCTGCAACGGTCTAACACAGACAGCCCCTGTGGCACTCTGTCCCAGTATTACCCCCCCCAGACCTAATGGGTAGTAAGAAATCGACGACAACAAGACTGGCATCTCGATTTAATGTTTGAGATATTAGAGAAAAGACCAGTTTAGCAAAAGGGATGGCACACTCCTCCCCAAGAACTGGATAAATATGGGCTTCACCGCAGTATTCTTTTGGAAAAATAAGGTACTATGGCACAGTGACAACTTACCGTCTGCGTAAGCAACAACAGTATTACTTGAAATAAACAACTGTCAAACGCCATTTTACATTTTGAAGTTCTTCATTTTTACCGCATACCTGTATCATTTTCTCTCAGATCATTCTCGCCCGATATATCGAGGATTCACTATACTAAACGGCAAGGCAGAGGGGAAATATACAGATTAATTTGTATCGTCTAACAAACTGCCTCAATGGAATATTGCAATGATACGCTCATTCGACGGTACGGCCGGTGACGGAGAGCTGAAAATATCAGCAGGCAAAAGAACGGAAATTCGTGACAGTGGTGAGATTCTACGTCTCAACGAGGAGCGCCAACCAATTATTTCATGCATGTTCACCTTTCCGTTGCAAAGTGCAGCATCGAAGCGACCACGGCCTTTCAGCATCGATGGAAAAGAAGACCAAACGTTTGTGGTTGGGTCGTACTGTTCGACGCTCGACAGGCATTCGCCGCGGTTGTAGCCGCCTACGGTGAAAAATAGTCGGTTAATGTGTTCATTTAAACCGTTCGTTCGCCGCATGCGTCACACACGACAGCTGGACAGTAAAGTTGGCGAACATTACCAAAAACGACGATCTTTCCGTCCATTTCCACAACACCGCATGAACAACGAGGAACCGTCAAATTGGCGAGTGGATAAAACGTCATCTCCTTCGAGGACGACAGCGAACCGTCGTTGGTCGCCTTCGATGGCGACTCGGATGACGAATTTTTCGCACCGGTGATCAGATGAATGCTTACGGCACAGAGCTGCCGACGTACAACGCTTAAAGCGATGTAGAACTTGCCTAAAAATAACGTCTCTTGCTTTAGAACTCGAGAATGCAATATGGAACTAGCACCGGTACGAATGAAACACGTTTCGCTGTACAGCGAGGCGGATAACCGCTACCTTATCAAAAGCTTGAGAGAAAAATGGCTGCAACAGAAGCATGTTCTGAAGAAAGGCCAGAACAAGTCGAACGGGGTCGAAACCTTCGGCCGAGAAATCACTTTCCTGTATTTCAGCCCCGTCAGTTTTCAAAGCCATGTTCGTCGTCAAAATTTCTCAGTTAATACATACATGCGCACATTAGCAGTGCTGAATCAGCAAACTTAAACGCTCCCTCCCCTTCAGAACGAACAGCCAATCAAGCAATGGAAGAACAGCAATGTTGAAAACGAGGGAGTGATAGCAGCGGTTGACAGAACTCTCTATACCTCTGGAGCAAGCAAATCTGTCCAAAATACAGACAAGGATATTGACTACAAATGGACAGAAAGATGAGGTAAACTATGTTAATCAAAACCATGATTAAATCATTCCGCTACACCATCCACCCACTCAGTATAGTTCCAGCTCAAGGGCTGGAAAGAAAAAAAATTCAAACGACACCTAGTTAAGCATTAAATCGCAATCAACATCTCGATCTGTTATGCAAAAATGCAGGGTGTTTAACATTCGTGATGTAAGCTCGTCTCACTTACTGAATGAGCGTGATATCAGTAAATGAAGAGAAAATTATAAACATTTCCATGTATTTTAACAGAGGATGATATTAAGGTTTGAGCACCCAAGAGCAAGTTCCACTCCCAATCCACTGCATGATTCGGAACATGATGTAAGCTACAGTGAAAGTTCGTTCTCTCGTTCTGCAGCGACTAGCAGAGCCAGAGAGTCCAACAGATGTGGATCCGCATATAGAGCAAAACAAAGATGGCTTTGCTAGGTAAACTATTACCAGTGGCGATAGAACCTTCGATTCACAGTGTCGACAGGTCAACATCATTACCAACAGAGAGAGTTAAAATTCCACGAATATGAATTCCACGAATGTGTAAGCATTACCAAAAAATCTAAGAAACGCATATACATTTTGCAGCTACGCTGGTATCGATATGTTCAGAGTAAAATGATATATAAAAGCTTGTCGGCATTTCTTGAGGTGCAGGAGCATGTGTGCTGCGTACCACGACCCTACTGCTCGTTTACTGTCACGGAATACTGCTCCATTATTTGGAGCTGCAACTGCAACACAAGGAAAGTAGACATGGAATTTAACGAAGCAAGTAAATGAGTGCACTGCAACAT